TCGTTTATGTTTTTAAAAATTAAAATTAATTAAAATTTGTAACCTTAACTTATTATTTTTTATAACATTAGTTCACGAATAAAAATATGCTTCGAGTATTTGATTTTTTTTATCATTTATTTAGTTTTATTTTCATTGTTTTATTTTAATATAATGTATACAATTTGCAAAGCCTCTTTATTTTTTTTTATTTTTTTTTAAAGAAAATCTTTAAAAAACAGAAATATAAACAAAAGTATTTTATTATTGTTGCTGAAAAGGTAAGAGAGTTGGGGAGAAAAGAGAAATTTCATTTAAGTAAAAGCAATCACTTCTCCAATTGGTCAAGTTGAAGAACCAGTTGACCACTCAACATACACATACACATACACATACACATACACATACACATACACATACACATATAATATAAGTAGAGTAAATTATGGATTTAGTCCATGTGGTTTGTGATTCTTATGAAATTCGTCCCTAAACTTCATTTGTTATGGATTTGGTGTCTGTGGTATGCATTTACTGTTGGATTTGGTCCTTCGCCTTAACGACCGTTTACCAAGTTCGTTAAACTTAAGGGCAAAATAGTCTTTTTCCTATTTTAATCTATTTTAACATTTCCTTTAATTTACATTTTTAAACTAGGGGATAAAATGTAGATATTAAAACTTAAATGACCAAATGTTCATATTAAAACTAAAATACATATTAACTATATATACACACACACGGTACACGCAGGGACCTTCGTCCCCAGCGCTACCTACTCCAATACAACCACCGACACCACTGCTCTGCTCCGATGATAGAGCTCCTATATACACCTGGCACATCTCTTTTCCTCTCTCTTCTCACCCTTCATTTACTCCGATGAGAGCTCTGTCAGAGACCCCATCCCCCAAGTCTTTCTCCGATGGTCCCCTTGGATTTACGTATGTATAATATGTAACTTTAATGTTTTGGCCCTCTTAAGTTTTAATAAATTCATTTTACCTTTGATTTGTAAAAGTTAATTAAAAATGTTTTAGAAAATGGAAAATGTAAAAAGACCCTTATACCCTCCACTTTTTAACGGCCTTGGTAAACGGTCGTTAGACCGAATGACCAAATCCAACAGAAAAGTGCACACCACAGGCACTAAATTCATAATAAATGAAGTCTAGGGACGATTTTTGTAAAAATCAGCAAACCACAAGTACCAAATCTGTAATTTACTCTATAAAGTATTTTATTGTCATGATTGAAACTTAGGTCATGTTTGGTTCGTCTTTGGTTCGTCAAAATCCAAATTTATCTGAATAAATTAAAATGATCAATTCCAATTACCAAACTTCATTCATTTATTTCGTTTACTCGTTGAGTTTTCGTATGGTCTTATAGAATTACAATTCCACATATGGCGGAATTTAACTTCCACAGGGTTTAAGTAACGAATTCTAATTCTTTTTCATCCCATCTTTTGTAAAGAATATTATTTCCTTATATTTAATATTTAATCAGTTCCATCTATCCATGATTGCCGTCACCACCACCACCATCATCACCACCACAGTCACCTCCACTACTGCTGCCATCGCTACCACTACCGCCGCCATTCTTGCCTCTACCACCAACGTCACTATCCTCACCACAATCACCGTCAATTTTATTGCCATCAACGTCATCGCCACAAGGCCCACCACCACCACCAATAAATTTAATTATTAATACAAAAAATAATCTTGGAGGTTGTGTAATGCTTACTTTCAAGTCGGAACAAGTTGATAGAATTTCATTTTATCATTTACCAGTATTTTACTGTAAGTTTAGAATTTATATTCAATGAATTAAACAGACAGATTTCAAATCATTTGACATATTTCATTCCAATTCTGGCCAACTAATAAAAAAACATAATCTTACTAATAATAGAAACATATTATTCTTATTATATTTTTTACTAAAAAATTAGCTTTCATACAACTAAGATCTTGTGTTTGTCTCGTGATTATATTCCATATTTATTTAAATATACAATTTTATTAAAAAAAATACAAGAAATTGACACGTATGTTTTTAATACGACATTATTGGTTTAAATTGTACTTGTTTTAACAAATATATATTTATTTATTTTAATGACCCAATATGATCAAAAATTGGTATAATGTCACAAACAGAATCTTGTGTCCTGGTTATTGTGACAATAACCATAAGGGTGGTGCCTGATTGGTTTAAGTTTGACTCTAAAGGTTAAAAGTATCAGGAGGTCCTCGGTTCAAATCCAAAGAAGAATAAAAATCCTCTTGTTGCCACGGAGGTTCAAATGCGGTGACTCCGGGCTATCTACAAAGCAGGTGGTCGCCTTGGGATTAGTCGGCTCGCATAGCGGGTTGGATATTCAGGTTAATAAAAAAAAACATTTTGGTGTTCTGGGTTTTTCGTAGAGATCACGGTTCGAGGCCTTGAAGGTCGTTATTTTTTCTTGATTGTTCTTCTGGGTTCATGAGATTAGTCGAGATGAGATTAGTCGAGATGCACACAAATTGACCCAAACAACCATTGTTAACAAAGAAATGTCTTTAAATAAAAAAGTATGGGAATATTTATAAAGAAACCAACTATGTTCAACAAAACAAAACCAACAAAAGAGAAGCCAAAACCTCTGTTATAAAGCATAGAAAGGAGAAAGGCCACAATCGAACTCAAGAAACATCCCACACGGGACACCCAACAAAACGAAAGAGACCAACATAAAAAATAAATAACCAACTGAGACCAATTAACACGAAAAACAAGCAGTCGAGTTACAGCACCATAACGCCCAAGATTCGTAGAAAGCTTTGGCATGATGGGATAACCAACGAAAAGAGTCAAGTTGGATATCAATCAACAAGTCTTCCCTGCCACAAGAACTATCGAACAAGAGTCTATTTTGAGAGCTCCAGATCGAGTAAAGGGTTATCCAAACAACGGTTGTCCATAACTTACTCGCAATATACGAAGCATGAAAGAACTCGACCAAAATAAAAAACATCCGAAACAGAAGTAACAGCCTCAGGGGCAAGGTCCCACCACTTCAAAATTCGGCCCCCTGACATCGATGCCAACGAGCAAACCGTAAAGCAATGGCCTATCGTTTCAACGACGCTATCACACTGAAGGCAAAGGACCAAGTGAAGGTCAATCCTCATATGACCGAGTAAATATTTTAATATTGTTTTTTAATTAAAGCAAAATAAATAATTTTTTTTATTGGTAATAAATAAAATAATTTATTTATAGAAATGAGTAATGAGGGGTCGTGGAATCACTTTTTGGCCATGAGATGTGAAAATTATGAAGTCCCTACTCTGTCTCTTAAAATATAAAAAAGTGAAGTTGGGGGACCAATCATGTAAGTTTTTGTGGTCACACGTTCATTACAAATCGGACCCAATCCAAAACATGGACCCCACTTGTTGGAAATATGACGGTGATCATATTCCTTTTCTTTCGTTAAAATAAAAATATTAATCAAGGTTTAGAAATTCTTTATATTTTAATTATTTATACAAAAATAAAAAAGAAATATTATAATACTTATTTGACCTGTTTTCTGTGCATATTACTATGGACAAAGCCCAAAAAAGTTACCAAAAACTATGATTGCGATTACTTTTTAATACTTCTGAAGTCTGATTTATTCAGACGTTTGGTTATTAAAAGCGTTTGATTTATTTTTAAAATAAGAGTTTTAAAGTTCTAAATGTTCTCTGAAATTTTAAGTGGTAAACGTATTCCTTAATACCTTTCACTCCTAATTTGTTTCTATCAAATGCTTCATATTTTGAGTTTTGGAAGAGATTTGTTAGCAAATTTTTTTTTTTATAATTTTATAATTTTTTTTATCTTTTATAGTTTTGCATTAGTTTGACTGATTCAAATTTCGGACTTTGTAAAAATAAACAATCTTACTGATCCACATGTCAGACTCCAGGACCACTTCCTATAAATCAGAAGTGAAATCAGACTTCAGATTTCAATACCTCTTAAAAACAAAAGTCACTTTAATGTTAGAGTATCTGTTTGATTTACTTATATTTTCTTCTCTTTCAGACAAGAGTTTAACATATTCATTAGAAATAGCTCTAACAAACGATCATTGATAAGTAATAAAAAAAAGTGAGTATAGAAACATTATAGTTTAAAAATATGGATTTTCATATTGCTTTGAGCTTAAGTGGTGTTTGATCTGATTGGTTTGAACTTGGGTTCAAATATCAAAAGTGTCTGGAGATCTCATGTTCAAATCTAAGGATAAATAAGAATCTCTAGTTACCCATAAAGCAAGTGATCGTTCTGAGATTAGTCGATTCGCATAACAAGTTAAATATCCAAGTTAATAAAAAAAAATATGAATTTTCAAAATTTTTTTTTTTCATATAGAGGGGGACCCCTCTAATCAAGAAAAAACACTAAAAGCAAGTCAAATACGTGCTCGGGTGGGGGCAAACCACATCTATCGGAATAACTAAGGCATCCCGAGAGGAAAAGGAGGAAGGGAAGAGGGGGAGAGGAGAAAGAAAAAAGAGAGAGAGAGAGAGAGAGAGAGAGAGAGGAAGAAAAGAAAGATCATGTAACGTAGGTACGAGGATGTCAATTGACAAATCCATAAAAATGTGAACAAATAATTTTATACTGTTTAAAAATGTTTTAATTATTTAGAAAAAAATTAAAACATTTTAATTAAATTATATACATGTGTAAAAATCGTATAAAGTTTTTAGACAACAATTACTGAAATAAATGTTAACAATAAAAGCATTGGGACCTTGAAAACTACCATTTCTAGGCCTGTTATAGGAATTTAGTGGGTGATTGATATTGTTTATTTGAAATAAGTTATACTTTTCTATAAAAGCATTTATCAACTTATTATAAGTCATAAAGATTTAACTTCTTCAAAAATTCTTTGTTATCGGTTTGACACCGGTATAAGTTGTTTATCCAAACACTCAAAAATGCTTATTACCGGTATTACACCTGAATAAGTCAATAAGTAGTTTTTATAAGCAATCCCACATACCCCTTAATAGTAGAGTAGTTGATTTTTACATCAAAACATAAACACAAGTGATTATATCATATCCATCGATCCATCGATGAGTCTTGAAAATCATAATCAAAACCAGATAAAAATAAAACACGATTTTACATAGCAGCAAGTGTTTCTGAAGCATTGGACGAAGTGGTAGCAACATGAGTGTTGCGTTTGTTGGATGCCATTGAACATACGTCTTTTTTTTCGTCTTGATTCATTTGTTTTTCTCTACAATCTAAACTGCAAAATGCACTGTCCCCCCTGCATCAATCATACATAAAACACTCATCACTTCAACTTCATTTCATTTTAACCTTTTTAGCTAACCGTGGGTTTCCGGACCAACTCATACGAACCGATTCATCTACAAATCCATGGCCACAAGGGGTTTATCGAGCGCGTCTAGATTCAAACACAGATAAGCCTCTTGTGACTTAACAGTGTTCCATAATCCAAGTGGTTATCATGACGTATTTATGCTTTATCACATCTTTAATCTAACTTAAAGACCCCAAATAAAATCCCAACAAATTTAGAGTTCATATAATCTTTGTACGAATTGAAGGGTTTCTTTGGAAGTGAACCATGTTATGAATCTGGTATATGTATGTATGTATGTATGTATATGGAGTTGGATGGTACCTGTACATGAAGATGTCACGGCCGGGGATGAGGCGGCGTTTGCAGAGGTGACAAGCTCTCAAGAAATGAGCTGTTTCCATGAAGTCAGCGGAATTACGGCGGTGGATCTTGGAAGCGACGGTGGCTGAAAGGAACCGGTGATCAAGAGTGGTGGCATCGGTGGATATGGGTGGGGAAGGGTGATCATGTGGTGTCTGAGAGTTGTCAACGACGGTCTTCTGGTTGAGATCCAAGGTGAATTCGGTCATGCTGGTGGTCCTCTTCATCGGAGGCCGTTGTCTCTTACCCAACAACATGATGGTATGGTTAGAGAGAGAGAGAGAGAGAGAGAGAGAGAGAAGGGTTTTTAGAGAGAGAGAGAGGAGGGCGGCGGCGGTGGTGGTGGTGGTGGTGGAGGATGAGTGAGAGTATGGGGAAGTGGAAGATAATAGAGGGAGCCAAAAAGCAAGGAGAGAATCTCGGCCGTTGCGTTTATCTTCGGGATCCTTTACATTATATGGCACAAGTCTACGTCATCCGCCACTTTTTATTTTATTTAATAATTAATAATAAGAGGGTATTGGTATTAGTATTAGTATTAATTTTTATTTCAATTAATAAAAATTAGTTTATTCATAATTTGATTATGATTTTAAACAGTATCATCAAATATAAAAATTTGAAGAGAGCGACTACTACACCTACCAACACTTCCTTGACTACATTTATCACTTATTTCTTTATTACAAATCGGAGATGTTATCATTTCAATATATATATATATATATATATTAGAAGAGTATTCGTGCAATGCAGTGAGACACATCTCAATTTTAATGTTCTATTTTATTATTTGTCTTTGTCGATGTTATAATACGATTTCATGTGTTTTTAAGAAAACAGTAATGATTTTATTTTTCAATAAAATATAAATTTGAAAATATCATAAAAATCTGAAAAAATATATCAATGTTAATATCAAATCATAAATGTTCTCATTTTT